CCCCCCCCTTCCTTCCTGCTAGGGTTAAGGGGAGAAAATAGATGTATTCTAAAGCAATCTATTTTGCTGGTGTTGGAGGGTTAATGACTATTGCCAAAGATAAGTGAATTATCAAAGCTATTGCTTTAGACCGATCTCCAAATCCATTACATAGCTGGCCGTCTAATTAAATACGTAAGTATAATAAAATCATATTTTATGACTATTTGAGAGTAATGAGATTAGTCTTTAGAAGAAATAGCCACATATTAAAGATTGCCGGTGTCTATGGAATGTTAATAACCTTAAATCAAAGTGTGTAGGGCGAAAAAAATCATAGTAATTCAAAAAGATTTTTGTAGATTTCAGATACGCCTGTTTTATTTTATTTATTTATTCATTATTATTTTTTTTCTGAATTTGGAAGAAAAAGGTGGGCAAATAAAAATGTATTTTTTTTTACATTGCGCATCCATGAACTAAAAAAAAAAGGAATAAATAATTTTTGATACACATGTATTATTTTGTGTTTTTTTTTAAATTATTGATTGCTGCGTAATATTAAAACTGCCTGATAGATGATCCTGTAGATTTGTTGGCGCGTTGAGAGTGAATTACGAGCGAGCTGCAGGCCTGCTTTGCAGATGAGGCGCAAAGTTTTTTTTGCAAGGGGTTAAAAATCAAAATTGGCACCCAAAACAGGATTTTAATTTTTTTGGGTGGATATTTAAAGAAAAAAAAAATAAAGCAGTGTAGGGAAAGGGTAAAAAAAAAAAAAGATTGAAATCATTAACAGTATCTTTAATTCAGATTACACGCGCCAGGGTGATTTAAATCTGATTACCAAATTAGGAGATTTCAAAATAAATCCCTTTAAATCTGATACTGTTGACTAAGGAAAGCGATGGAGAGGGGGGAAAAAAAAAACCTTGCACTAACCCATCACATAAGGTAACGATCCTGCCCCAGAAAAGAAAAGGAGTTTAAAACCTTTTTGACAACAAATGCAGCTGCCCTACTATTTTGGACGATATTAAGGGAAAATGAATGCAAATCTGCGCTCAGAAGCCATCTGGACAGGAATAAGGGAATCAGCTGCTCCTCACAACAGGCTCTGAGGCTGAATGTATTTCAGCTCATTTTCTACATCATCTGGTCTTGCACCCAAAGCGTGGAAAATAGGGTCTTTATCATGGACCAACTTTATCTTTGTGTCACTATACTGTTGCCTACAAGCGAAATGCAACACGATAGTGACACAAGATCACCAAGATGCTCCTGATGCTGGGGCTGAGGGAAGAAGAAAGAATAGAATCTGGTCCAGCTTTTCCATTCTGAATCTTTAGCGTTCGGAATCCGCAACGTTTTTAATGAATGTGAAAATTTTAAATCTGAAACCTTAATGCTGTAAATGAATCTGTAACGTTCTCTTTTGTATCTTGTGTGTTATAGATGAATCTGCCACGTCTTGATCTAAATTGTCGACGTTCTAAATGAACCCCAATGTATCCTCAATGTTCTAAATGAACCCCAATGTCCTCATCTGTATCCTCAGCATTGCAATGAGCCCCAATGTCCTCATCTGTATCCTCAGCATTGCAAATGAGCCCCAATGTCCTCATCTGTATCCTCAGCATTGCAAATGAGCCCCAATGTCCTCATCTGTATCATCAATGTCCTAAATAAACCCCAATGTCCTCATCTGTATCCTCAGCATTAGCAAATGAACCCCAATGTTCTCATCTGTATGCTCAATGTTCTAAATGAGCCCCAATGTTCTCATCTGTATCCTCAGCATTGCGAATGAACCCCAACCTTCTCATCTGTAGCCTCAATATTCCAAATTAACCCCAATGTTCTCTCTGTATCCTCAACATTGTAAATTAACCCCAATGTTCTCATCTGTATCATCGACGTTGTAAATGAACCCCCAATGTTCTCATCTGTATCCTCGAACTTTTAAATGAACCCTAACCTTCTAATCTATATCCTCAACATTCCATATGAACCTT